TTAGAATAAGTTTATTATTATTGGAAGTTAGAGACTTGCCAATAATGATATTGCTTTCTCAGTTCTGTAGAAAAATGATCCCTCCCCTGCTGTCTTTATTATTTTTTCAATAAATCTTTATTTAACTGGGTTGTCAAAATCCATCAACAAAAGCAACAGGATAAAGGTATTTACGAGGATTAGCTTCGGGACATCCCCAAGTGGTACCAGAGGTCACTAAGTCACTGGCGGTTACTTTTCCTTTACTAATGCACTATTTACTAATTCACTAATGCACAACTCAGACTTCCATCATTTATTCATGGTGATGGCAAATGTTTCACCTCATCCTCTGCACTTAACAAATCAATAAAAGTAAACCATCTCTGAAACCATCCATTTTGAGAGGAGATGGAACGTTGTTCATCAACATGTCTGGATCAGACGAGGATGATCGCGCTGTATCATCAGCATCAACAAGCGATGAGCTGTGAACAATAAGAGCACATTTCCACTGCTTCTAAAATGACCGTTCTCACCTGCAGAACGGGTGTCTGTGGGGAAAAAAAAGACCACTTGATGTTCTTGTCGTCAGGAAATTGTGTTTGCATTCTGATTATTATTATTTTGTGTGGCGTGAAAGAGGGATGAGCCGAAGCCGTCTGAGTGAGATTATCACTTATGGAGATGGGTCAGTGGAGGGCTTGCTCTGGCTAATACCTCTTGTGTCGAGGTTTCAAAGGTTGACAGATATCCATGCTGCTTTTTGATATCGCTGTCAGAGTTCTAATTATTTCCCCAAAGCTGGATCATCTAATACCAATAACATCTTTTTTATGCAAACAATATGGCCATTTTAATCTAGAATAGATTTAGCTGCAAACCTGTCAGATAATAGTTATTTTCTCTTGTGTTAATAACTAAATCAAATCAGCTATACAGACAAAATCCTTTGTTTCTCTTCAGACTTGTCAGTTTATTAATTTCTCTGTATTTATTATCTTTAAACCCAAAAACAAAACACCACAACTGAATGGAAAATCATTGATCTGGCTGCAATTCTTTATATTTCCACAGAGAAATGCAACCTTTAAGTTGTTTCGAAATTAATTTTGTCACTCCACTAAAACGGCACAGACAGAATTAAAAATGCATCATATAATCTAATAATATAATCCACATCAACTGGGATTATAATGATTTAGTCATGCTAATCTGTGTAGGAACAAAGCTCTCGATCAATGTGGGGAATAACAGCATTAAAGCTGACTTTTAGTGGTGGGTGTGACTCTTGTTTACAGTTGGATTATGGGTTGTATTCTCCCCTCGTCTCTGTAATATTCACTCAGTGATAATTTGGGATAATTCATCACATGACTGTTCACATATTTATTCAGTGGTGCACGTACATTACTGAAGCTTGAAAGTATTCAAGAGATATTCCGTAGCAGGGTGTTGATGTGTGTGTTGCATCTGCAGCACTTTTATGTAGGAAATATGAAAAATGCTGTTTAGTAATTTAGCTTCCAAGTAAAGTGGAACACAAAAAGACGGAATGTAAACGGCCAGGTTTTATGAATAAAGAGAACAGAGAGGATGATGTGAAATAAAGGACAAAAATGAGGGGAAAATTACCCTTAGCTTGCAGCAATTGTGTACAGTGTGAAAAAAGGTGAGTGTGATTTGTTGGGGGGGGGTGCATGAGACACCTGCTCCATTCTGCAGTGATGGCTCCCTGCGGGATGCAGGCTCAGCTGCTGATCACTAGGTCCTCCCTGCAGCACTGGTGGCCAACATACACACACACACAGGCACACACACACACACACACACACACACACGCATGTGCGCACACACTCACACATGCACACTACTCCAAACCCTCCCTTCCTTTTGCAGTGTGCTTCTCTGTGCTCCTGAAGCACCATGTGCTCAGATCATCCATAAGCGTGCCGTGATGCACAAGCTGCACATTCTGTGTTCCTGTGACGCCGAAGGTAAATTCAGTCAAGCCGGGGCGTCGTAACACACTGCACTGTGAGGGATACACTATAGGTGTGATATGGTCCACTAGTGAGTCTTTTGAAACATTTCCGACAGCTTTATAGCTGAATCAATGAAACCACTATAACATACTGGCTTTGCTGTAAAAGAGCAAAAGATGAATGGTTATGCCACACCTTTTTAAAAGATATGCCAGCCTTAAAAACAGTTTTAAATTTTCAGCAGATCCCTTAATAGTTCAAAACATCAACAAAAGCTACATTTGCTTTTTCGTACTTGTGTTAATCAGCCGCTATTGTACTTGTTGCGTGATTATCATGTTTGATTCAGCAATTTGCACATTTCTGCGTTTCTCTGTCTCTCGCTCTTTCAGCCGCCCTTCAGCGTGCTGCACCTGTTTGTGCCTGGGTGACAGCAGGGTTGCAGAGCATAAATGAACTAATTTCCTGGATATAGACAACACGGCAATCAAGGCTCAGAGAAATGCAGCGAGCGGCAGATGGAAGGAGCTAATTATTGTTATGAAATAGAGATGACCTCTAACTATCTGCTGGCTGCTTATTTTCTGTGGTGACACACGTTTGCAAGCTTCTGTGCCACCAGCCACCCCTTCTCCCTTCTTGTTTTTTCTTGCATTTTGTAGGGATTAAAAATGACTTCAGGCAGGTTTGAAATGCAGCCTTTCGTTTCTTTTCTCACACGGAAACAGTAGTTGTCAAACAAAGCCCAGTGTCACATGGGGAACGGCAGCTGCCTGCAGTGGGTAATCAGTGCAGCTTTCTCAAAATTAACAGCATTCATCTCTGAAGCATGGTGCACAGTGTGTTTGTAGATGTGAGCTTCTGGAAACTGGATCGCACTGCCAAAAAACAAAACAAAACAAAAATACACGGAATCATTTGCGATTTGAATTTTTGTTCAAATGTTGTCCACAAATTTCCACTCTGTTTTAGATAGCCTTTGTGGTTGTTCTAAAACTGTAAGAACAGAAAAATGTTAGTTTTAACTCTGTCAGAAATCTGCTCCTCTATGTTTCTCGGTTCAGAAAATTAATTCTTTGAAAGCTTTTTTAAACGCACCACCGGGTACAACATAAGAACACGTGCACACGCTAAGAGACACAAAAATCATGCCTCACAAAACGTGCAGGTACTGCAAATGTGCATGTGTAATGGAAAATAAACTGAATTGTACAAACAGCAGGATTAAACCCTATTGTATTAAATGAAAGAGTATTACAAATTACAGATCATCTGGTTTATTTATTACTAATATCTGCCAATATTCAGCAGCCGCTTTCGTAGACGGTTTCTTTTCTGTAGCACCAGCCCTCTGAAACCTGAGGCTTCACCCAACAAAACAACCAGAATCTTCCAGCACATTTATCTAATGTATGCAAATGATCTCGATGTGCTTAATGAAGGCACCATTAATCACTTTAACGATGTTCTTTTTTAACCAGGGTAATCATGAATACAGGCACACACATACTCAAGCACGCACATTTTCAAACAAATACACACGCCTTTGCACTTTCCCACACAAACACACAGAAGGACAAGCTTCATCACCAGAAATGAACTGAAAACAAATGCACCAAATCCCCGCAAATCTACTATTAACAAACATTTTTTGTAATAAATGAAGCTGCTTAATGACTTCATTACAATTCTTGAAATTAATGCTTACATTTAATTTAATCCAAGCATGTTCCTTTCTTCCCTGTTGAGATGCATCCTCCCTGACAATAACCCCTAAAGTGAGCGCCACAGAATTTTATCAGATTCAATTCAAAAATACTTTATTAATCCCAGATGGAAATTGAGCCATTAGAATGATTAAACGATTTATTGTAATACGTTAATGTGCCAATTGTATTTATGTCATAAATCGAGGTAACACTGGTTTGTGGTTCAGCACCTTCATGCAGACAGCTGATAACGCTGCTGTGGGTCTAAACAGCCAGCGGAGCACACAGTGCTTCACGTTCAGAAAAGCATCAGCAAAGCGCTGGACAGATGGCTTTGAAGTCGAGTAAAGCCATTTTTTTAAAGCTCAGTTCCTCACGGACATATTCCACTGCTTATCCCTTTTCCACGAATTAGCATACACTTGACGGACACCCCTGGGTACAGTCAGCAGCATGACAGTGGGCTATGAAGGCTTCCGGGAGGCTCCGGGGTGTGGATCTGAGCCAGTTAGAAGGGGAGCCGAACCAATGAGGAGCCCACAGCAGATTAGACACCCACAGCTTCATGTCGCTTTTATGCAGCGAGTCAGGGATTTTCTTACAAGGCTTTTTTTTTCCTTTTTATGCCTAAACACTTAAGGTTTTCCTCATGCCCCCTTTCCTCTCCCGGTCCCTTTTGCCTCAAGTAATCTTTACTATGTAAATTGCAGCGTAATGTTGACTCTGGTGGAAAATGTCTCTCTGCAGACTTCCTGCTTTCTCTGATTCTGTAAAACGGAACGATTAGAAATTACCTGATTAATTATTTAATGAAATCAGACTTCATTTTTAAAATCCGAAGTTTTTACAACTCATCATTGAGCAGCTCTTCAGAAACTACAGCTAGAACACCTAAGGAAATTAAACTGGACATTTAGTGCTGCAGCATTTACCAAATTTACCAAATGCATACACACATGCATGCATGCACACACAAACACCTCAAACTCCCTTGATAGTAATATGACTGGCAGAGGTTAAAGACAGAGTAGGCGGCTGTAATTGAACAAACATAACAATGTAAATATTTACTAATATTCTCCACTGGGGATACAGGCAGAATCCCATAATTGATTTGCTCTTTTTTTGGTTTTTACCCCTTTTACTCTTTTTTTTCCAATACACACACACACACACACACACACACACACACACACACACACACACACACACACACACACACACCGTATCCAAACTAACTACCACAACAGCCTTTTCATTTACAGGTTTTACGCTCGCCTGTGCTCATGAAAGAGGCAGAGGTATGTTGGTCTGTCTATCCTCTTACCAGGGGTGACCTGTAGCCCATCTGGACGGGCGATGACAGGAGATCCCTGGGAAATAGCGGCGAGTGCGTCTCGGGGACGGTGCCCACGCCACTGGCTGCTAGTCCCGAGAGCTGCCCGTACCTCGCCATCATCTTGAGATGCTGCTCACAGAACACACACGCTCATACAAAGACACGGGAGGAGAGGGGAGCAGAGACAGTGGGGGAGGAAGGGGGAGAGAGAGAGAGAAAGAGAGAGAGAGGGAAAGGGGTGTCTTAGATGGGAAGGAGAGCAGACAACAGCAGGTAGGAAGGACAGAAGAGGGAGTGAGGAGGGGAAAAACCTTGAAGAAAAGAGGGAGGTGGATGGGTTTACGAGAACATTTTTGCACTCACACCAGCACGTGTGAACATAGAGCCACACACGTCCACTCACGCCGTGCGTGCACATGAAGGCACACGTACAGATTTAGCCTCAGGTGGACAATTTCACAAGCAAAGCCTATGTTTGATGGGCTAGATGGCTACGGTGGTTTTATTACAATGAGGCAGGGGCTCTGGCTCTCTGTTTATGATTACAAGGCAGAATGAGTGTGAGAAGCATAGCGGTCCCTTCATTTTCAGAAATAAACAGCTGCTGTTATCAATCATCCCTTCTGTCTTCTGGATGCAAGCACACCAAGGTGTAGGGACACACACACACACACACGCAGACATACTATAACACAAATGACAGAATGGTTGGCAGCAGACATACAAAGGTGAGATGCAAACACAAAAAGGTAAATCCAGATATCTTTACCTCATTGCTCAACAAAGCAGCGTTGAGTGTTCGGCTTATTTCAAACATGTTCAGATTCGATGAGGTTTTTTTTCTGTCCTTTCAACTGTTAGATTCTCTTCAGCTTTTTTCTGGCCGTTCTCTGCAGTTGGGAGTCAGCCCCTCTTGTCCCAGGAACAAGAAAAAAGAAAGAAAACAGAAAAAAAGAGGAGAATAAAAAAATCCTCTTTGATTTCAGGATTTGGTGCTGTTTTCAGTTCCCTGCTCTTTTTTTCTTTCTCTCTCTCTCTCCCTCTCTCTCTCACTCTCTCTTTCTCTGCTGATGCTCTTCTGCTGGCTGCGGCTGTTTAGTGGAGGCGTTTGTGCCCGAGGTCTCCGCACACGTCTGAGGAGTCAATACGCTGCTGTCTTTTAAAATCTCCCCAGAGTTAGCACATTAAAACACGCACTCGGCGGGTCGGTGGGTCGGGCTGGTAGGCTGGCTGGCTCCCTTATCTGTCCCCCACACACTGGCTCACACAATACGCTCCGATCCTCACACTGCTCGCTAGCAGATTAGCCTGTCCCAAAACATAGCACTTAGTTTAAACTCCCCTCCCTTTTGCTCTCTCTCTCTCTCTCTCTTTCTCTCTCTCTTTTCCCCTCCACCGCCCTCTGCATCACTCCCTCTTCCCCCACTGCTCGTGCATTCAAGCAGCTACAGTTCACTCTGTCACCACAAGGTGGGAAAACTGTTCTAGCATCAGCATCAGCACCATCATCTCCTCCTCTTCCATCACTCAGATTTGCTTCTTTTCTCCTCCTTTTCAAGTGAGTTCACCAGACATGGATGCAGACACTTAAAAGAAGCTAGAACTTAAACTAGGATTAACAAACAAAATTAGGATGTGTGGGATTTAATATTGTTGAATTATTTCATGTTTTTGCAAATAAAAGAGATACAACATTTTATCTGCTTTAAAACATTCAGATTATTTACAGGAAATGCATCATTGGAACATAATAAAACACAGGGAGACTCAATGGGAGTTGGATTTAAAAAAAAACAGAGGAAAAATGCTGCTGGGCTGAGCGTCAAGGTCAGGTGGTTGTCCTTTTCCTCAGCAGGGTGTGGCACAGTGATGACGCAGCAACCAGTCACAGTCGTGGCAGGAGATCCCGACTCCTAAATGAACAGGAAACAGCCAGAGCATGACTCACTGCATTCATTGGGTTAAACAGTTTGGAAAATTCAATTAGATTGTGAATCTTCGTGTAAAAAAAAGAGACAAATATTGTTAAAAAAAAGTTTATTTCTTGAGATAAAACAAATCGGCAGAGCTCAGAAGGTTGAGCGGATTGTCCGATAATGGGAAGGTCGTAGGTTTGATCCCGGCTCCTGGCAGGGAATTCTGCTATTGTGTCGTTAGGCAAGACACCCCGTCACCCTCCTTGTCTGCTGGTGGCGCCAGTTCTCAGCAACCTCACCTCTGTCCGTGCGCCCCCAGGGCAGCTGTGGCTACATTGTAGCTCATCCCCACCAGCGTGTGAATGTGTGTGTGAATTCGGGAATGACTGGTTGTGCTGTGAAGCACCTCGGGTGGTTGTAGAACTCTAGGAGGCGCTGTACAAATACAGGCCATTCTAACGTTGGTCGATGGTGTTGGACTGAGCAGGATCACGGTACCTTTGTCAGGACAGAGTCAAACAACATTTTAAATGTGCTTTTTGCCGTCTGAGATCAGAGTTGGAGGGGGATCGGCCAGTTAATAGCAGCCACATTGACACTGGACCATCTGTTTTGGTGGATGCTGCCCAGCACCAAAAGGAGGGGGCGGAGTAGAGGGATTTAGAGACAGTGACAGATAAAAATAAAAGTGAGCGAATGAGCGCATCAGCAACAGTAAACTGCAAAGCAAAGTGTTAACAAATTGTTCGATTCAACCAATATGTCAACAAGGAAACGAGAACATATGTGGAGGCTCACAGAGATGAAGGACGTGAAATATAACGTTGGTTACACATTTAAAATTAGCACGTTTCTATTATTTAAAAACATTTTCATTGGTGAGAAGATATGTGAACCTAGTATTAACAGCATCGCTGTTGCAATGTCTTGTCTCCCATGTTAATTATTTTCTTAAGAAAAGGGTTTCCGTACAGCTCGTGGTCTCTGGGGACAGCTGGTCCAGCACCGCCCTGGAGGGGGGCTGTCAGTTGAATCATCCTGAGCAAGCTCTGATTCCTCAGTCAGCTGCTTCTCAAGCTCTCCTCTCTGACCCACACTCACTCCCCCGAGCCCCTGATTGCTGTCACCATAGTGATTCTCTGTGTACTGCCGCATGCATGGATTCTGCACCCAAGCTGCCATCCCTTCTCCTCCCCAGCCCCCCAAGCACTTCCCACCAGATCTCTCAAAACATCCTGTCTCCAACTCTGCACCTTGTCTTCCTGCCTGCTTTGATTTTTGCATGACTTCTTCCCTCTTTGATGATAGCTGTCATGTGGGAAAGTGCTCAGCTAGCCAGGGTAAAAAGGGTTTCCCTATATTTGGTGGAATGTGAATACAACAAAAAAAAAAAGATTTGCTCATTTTAAATGATAAATGATAAATGACCCGCACTTATATAGCACCTCTCAGAGTAAGGACTCCAAAGCGCTTTACACTACAGTGTATCATTCATCCATTCACACACACATTATTTGCTTGCTTGCTTTTAGCATCCCCTAGTGTTCGTTATTATTTCTCTGTGGTCAAACCAAACTTGAAACGTATCTCCTTGTTGTGAGTTTATCTTTTTATCACCTTAATCTAGCAGCTGAAACGTCTCCCAGCCTTCCTTAGTGTCTACAGGAGTGATTCATCACTAAATTAAACAAATCGTCTGTGCTCATGGTCTAAAACATGCAGGAAACGTGATGGAAGCAGACTGCAGCACCAGACTAACAGGAAGCGGCCCGCCCGTCTGACGTTACAAATGCAATATTCTGGCCACAGAGGCGGTGGGGGTCTGTGTGACATATCATTAACTCTGTAAAAGGTTGTTTTAACACATACAGGCTCAAGAAATTGATTTAAAAACATGAAAAAGTTGCATAGTATCCCTTTTACCCTCCCACTGTCCTAATGGGTGTGACCCCACAAGGAAAGTTGACCACACACATACACAAACATAAAGATCCAGGCAAGAATTATAAGGATTTTATTTTATTTATTTATTTTATTTGTTTCAGAGTTGTGGGACAGAGTTCTAAGGACTGAGTTATTTGATCATTTTAAAGTTCAGAGGAACAATAATGGCTTTCTGAGACACAGAAATACATAAACTGGACTTTGATGTCTTTTAAAATGTCATTGTGATGGTGTGTATGCTCTTAAGTTCTTATAATTGTTCAGGAATCATTGGTGGTCTACTATCCTTTTATATAAACGCACTCTGCTACAATTTTGAAGTGCATTAACCATCATATGTTATATCTACTTTTACAAGTTTTGGTTTTCATTAGTTAAACACCAAGTTCACAGAGAAACCATGTTTTGTTATTTTTTAAATATGATTGGTCCCTCTGAGTTTAACACTCTAGTCTTCTACCTCTATTAGTCACTGATAGAAAATAGATGAGGAAACTCTTGGATTAGAAAAGCCAGTAAAATGCACGTCTTATTGTCAAATTAATGATCATTGACTCAAGCATCTTGGCTCACAATGGGGAAGGCTGTTGTTGATTAGCCCTAGAGTGCATTTTGGGTAGTAGAAGCTAACAGTTAGCTTTAGCAACTCCACAATATGACAGAATTCCTTCAGGCTTGTGTTATTTGTGGATGTAAAACATTAATGTTGCAAAGCAAACAGATTCATTGGTAGAGTGGCATTGCTGTTAGCCAATCAGAGATGAGACGTCTGGATAGACTCCAAATCCTGCTGTCTTCAGCTTACCTTTTCTCTGGCTCAATCCTAGTTCCCAGAACAGGAGCATGAGAGCTGTTTCGCCACAGAGATTGACTTACTAGAGACCACTGCAAATGTGTTGAAAAAGGAGTGAACTCGGTCTCTAAAATCTAAGTCATTTGTATGTAGACATAAGTGTGAATGTGAGTGTGTGTGTGTGTGTGTGTGTGTGTGTCAGTTTCTGAAAGGGGAAAACTCTGGATAGATACTTTAAATGCTAAAATGTCACTTATGACATCAGTTGATGCACACAATTTCTGAAGCTGAATCAGTTTTTGAATTCTGAGTCTTACTAACTGTTAAATTTGAACTTTGTGCACCACAAGTTGATTTAGTTAATTTATTGTGCTGATGTTATCAGTGAATGTAAAACTATATTTAAATTAAATTCTGCAACAGCACCGAGCTGCCTGAGGATGTGCCAGACTTTAAATCGGCTTAATAAGGACAAATATCAGCCGATGATGATGTATAAAGAACGGTAAAAATTGGCCCGATATATACGTATACTTCAGTCACATCTCTCAGTACTTCCCCTTATGAAACACATTCACTTCCATCTCAATCAAACATTTTGTTAAAAATAAATAAAAGCCAGATTCTGATGAACTAAACTCTTTCCATGTTGTCGTTATTTTTTACACAAAACTGAGAAACATTAGAACTTATTGTGCATCTAATAAATTCTTCTCATGCACCATAATTCAGTTTCAACCTCTTTCTTCAAGATGAATGATTGTACCACCATAAAGCTTTTTCATTGGCATAGTGGTAAAGGAATGACTTGGCATGGCTGACAGCTGTTCAATTTTCAATTCTAACAAAATATTACACAGCTGCTCTGCATTCTCTTACTGTCATCTAAGAAATAATCATTCAGATCTATCTACTCCACTGCCTGTTGATGTTTGCCATCACACACAGATCACACACCACAGAAAAATCAGTGCCCTCTCCTTGCTCTTATTCATTTGCTCCTCTTACAGACTGCTTATAAGCTGAAAATCAGCAGCAACCAGTGTGCCTCTTGCTCCAGGAGCTGTGTGGCTGCTCATTTGATCTACTTAATCAGGTGCTGCCTTTGTAATGGGAAAGGGATAGGGCCAGGCTTGATTGGCCCTGATGACATCTCTGCTCCAATTGTCTAGAAAATCTTCAGCCTTAATCAATCTGCTGGATAACTCACAATCTCTGACTGCTGCTTGCAATTATTGGCTTATTTTTCTCTCAATATACCATTAAAATGGGCCTTGTTTCGATACAGCTGGAACAAAACTGAATTATGTCCAGTACACAAATTACATTGCATTGAATTGAAAGCCCTTTTTGGTGCATTTGTTGTCTGCCAAACCCCAATGTTACCATTTCTTCATGTTGCAAACAGGCGCTGAGGTTTATTTAGGGAATTTTAGTGGGATCACAGAGCTATAGTATTACGCAACGTTTTTAAACTATCCTTAAATTGCTTTTCTGTGCTTCTAAGGTGCCAGACTGTCTTGTATAGTTTTAAGCGGACTTGAAATATTTCTCAGGTCTTATTAAGGTCTCAGAATGTTTTTCTTCCAGAAAGCTAGATATTTGAAAAGAGAGCCTAAAAAATAAATAAATAAATTAATAAATAAATAAAAAGCTGCTTGGAGGTAAAAGAAACAAACAAAAAAGATGTATTACTTTTCCACAGTACTGCACTTGTCATGAGCTTGTCATCTAAGCATGAGCTTAGATGAGAAATGTCTATTTTCAGATGAAAAAGAGCATTTTATAGTGTAACTGTTTAAACGATCAATAAAAACAATTTTAATTAGATAATTTTAAAACCTTATGAGCAGTGTGGTGTAAGCACAAATCAAATCTGCCCTGAAAACTGAATCCGATACTTTTCCAGTCGTAAAAACTACCCCTAGTTGACTGATGGAGATGTTGCTCCGTTGCCGTGGCAACGTGCTGTGAGCGTCGGCTCGGAAGCAGATGAGAGGAAGATGGAGGAGAACACTGTAAGAGACGTCGAGGCTGGTGTGTAAATATGAGCTTTGTCTGTCTTTCTCCTCGTTGCTCTGCAGACGGAAGAAAGGGCACGTTGCATCGTTCTCTGACAAATAAATAGAGCCTTATTTTCCTTCCTTTAGCTCGCAGCGCGTCTTTATTTTGACGCTGACGTTGGGTGTGCTAACCGCCTAGCTAGCAGGTACTTTGGAGTAAACACGACTCGGAATTCGTAGTTTTCAGCTTTCGACGTCTGTAAATCACATCACAAAGTATCCGAGCAATTTAGTTTGCTCAAGGAAGGGTGCCTGCTAAATTCTAGCAGGCTAATTTAGAGCCGCAGGTCGTAGGAGCGAGCAGCAATACAGGTGTAGTGATTGTGTGCTAACTAGCTGTATCACCATTATCACCAGAGGAACAGCTAATTAGAAGACACCCGGTTGCAGGGGTTTCTCAAATGTTCCCCCATTATTCTTCAAATTTAAAGCAACAGCAGTTTTCAATATATTATATTTAAAACGGCACTGGACAAAATGCTTATTGGTTAAATTTACTGTGATACTCAGGGTTTCTGTAATACTACTTTGTGGGTGTAGGCTACTTTTTGATATGTTTAACCTCCTGAGACCCTGTGTCCACTTATGATGACTTCGACTTCTTGCACTAGAATCTTTTAATCTCTTCAATTTAGACCTGTTTCATAATTATTTAGAAACATTTGATATTGAATTTAAAAAAATGAAATTCAGTTTTTTTTCTAAGAAAACTGTCAATATTTCTATTTTATTTTATTTTACATCACACCAAATACAAATTCGGATCTCAAGAGAGTAAATGCAAAATAAAATAAAATAAATAAAATTGAATAAATAAATAAATAAAATAAAAAAAATGTTTTACTGAAGATTTTACAATGTGAGTACATTCAGACTTATATTACTCTCTTTGTTCAGGAAGTGAAACTGGAGAGGAGGATGCTTTAGTGGGGAACATCAACAAGCTGATGGTGACCCCACCAGGATACGCCGGGATCCCACGAAAAGGACATCTGGTTTTTGATGCTTGCTTTGAGAGTGGTGAGTGTTAGAGCTGGAAAACATGAGGAAAGTGTTGTATACAATTAAAACAAAAAATATATGGAAATATTTTTATTTCAGTAATTCAGCTTAGACTGAAAGACCATCTAAAGCAGGGCCATTCAAAACTGGACTTTGAGGGTTGGTATCGAGACTGTTTTAGTGGTTTCTCTGATTCAACACACGATTCACCTGTGCAACAGCTCATCAGTCACTGCAGAAGCCTGTTACCCACTTGCTGATTGAAAGTAGGTGTGTTGAAGCAGGATTAAAACCAAAACGTGCTGGATACTGGCCATCAAGGCCCGGAGTCGAGTAGTCCTGATTTAAAGGCTCAGCAAACCTGTGGAGGTGTTTTGGATTCATTAGCTGATTAGAGTGTGACACTTACAGCCTAGAATATTGAACCTTTTCACAATTTTTTCTGATATCTTGAATTTGGGGTTTTCATAAGCTTAAGCCATAATCATCACTGTTATAACAAATAAAGGCTTGAAATCTCTGGCTTTGCACGTAACGAGTATCTCGTATATTAGTTTCACCTTTTAGGGTGAATAACTGACAAATTATCTTTAACACCATATCCTTCTTTTTCAAGTTTCACTTGTATGTGGCCACCAGTGTGCCTCATGAGTGTGGAGTGAATATGGGCAATGTTTTACCACCTGGTTATGTTTTGAAATATTGCAACATATGAAGAAAATCTTTGTGGATGTTAAAGTTATCTGTCAGGTCAAGAAAACGAATGAAATTAAAAGCAATTGAAATATTTTTGTATCTTCTGAGGTCTTGAATAAAGTAAAAGCGAACATCCATCCTAATTAGTTTAGTTCATTAAAAAGGAGATTGTGTATCAAAACTGTATATAATAAGAAAAATATAGAGCAAATGATTTATTCCAAATGAATTCAGGATTTTATCAATCAAAGCCTTAACAGCTGCTTCATACAACATTCAGTGCTTATTATAGCAGCTAATGTACTGTAAATCTAACTGCAGTCATATTTGGTTGTAACATTACACAGTCATGGATAAGTTTAACAATAAAACTCTAGAAATTTAACCTGTAATATCTGAAGCCATGGACTATTTTATGCACAACTGTACAAACTCATATACTTTCACACTTTTATAACGTTAAGAAAAGGTGGCTGTTATTCTTGCCTGTCGTCTGTTCACACTTAAAAGATGATCATGTATTTGTGTTGCAAAACTCTGTTAGTCAGGTGTTATGGAATAGGAGCACCAGAAGAAGAGTTAGCCTCATTAACAGCTGTAGGAAGTTCTCATGTTGTTAAACCCCCCCCCCATATTAACTTAGCATGTAGGTTACTATTTGTCTTATTGTGTCCATTTTCACATTTACTTTGAAATTGATCCAAATTCATTTATAATCATGAAAAGAGGAAAAATGTTACGTTAATTTCTTTAATTTGTTTCTTAAAAATTTATTATTTTTAAAATTTAATTTTTTAGTCTGTCTTTAAATACGGAGTGTCAGGTAAAGTTAAAGTCCCCTTAGTCATCACACTTTGGTAAAATTCATCTCCACATTTGACCCATCCCCGTGTGGAGCAGTGAGCTGCAGCAGTGGCTGTGCTCGGGAGCTATTTGGTGGCTTAACCCCCCAATCTAACCCCTTAAAGCTGAGCGTCAAGCAGGGAGGCATTGGGTCCCATTTAGGGCTGGGCGATGTGACCTAAAATTAATATCACGATATATTGAGGATTTCACCTCGATAACAATAAATGGACGATAACTACAGGTATGCACAGAAACAAAAGTTGTCCACTAGATGGGGCTGTCACATGTATTACGTTGAGTCACATTTTTACCTGACTCAAGGTGGTACAACTTCTTAAAGGGAAATGAACGTTGCCAACCTACATACATCTTTAAATTTTTGTATAATTAAATTTATTCACATGGGTAAAATTTATACGGATAAGAGTCAGAAATTTAGATAACGATAAATTTTTGATTCATTACCCTGCCCTAATCCCATTTTAAAAGTCTTTGGTATGACCCAACCAGGATTTGAACCCCGATCTCCCAGTTCCAGGACAGACACTCTACTAGACCACTGAGAAGGTTATTAATATTATTGTTACTACTATTAATAATAATAATAATAATAATGATATTATTATAAGTTCATTATTTTCATCTAAAATTCAAACAATACTGGTGTTCAAAAAGCAAAACTTTTCTTTGAGGGATGATTGATCTGTTTTCTTGTCCACCTATTTTGTTGGAGCCAGTCATACAGTAGGCTCAAGTTAATACACCTGGAGTCCTTTGTTAACAGATTTAGCTTTCTGACAGCTGAAAGGCACAAGAGTGGAAAGTGTTTGTTCATCATTGACAAAATCTGTCAGTTAGCCCCTCGCCCGGACGAACACCGCGACTCACAGGAAGGCAGAGTAAATCAGGGAATCAGCAGATCTTTCTGTGGCTGAATCTGTGTGTGGAGATTAGGTTCACACGGCACTCAGATTTCTATTTCCACTGATAAGCCCATTTTAGTTTCTGTTGACTGAGATGAGCTGTGACTTCTCTCTGTTTACTTTCTGATGTCTGACCTTGGTCTCACTCTCGGGGACAAAGTCCCCAAATGTGATTTTCTGATCCACTTAATCCTAAACAAGTTAGAAATCAGATCAAATTCAAATGGGTTTTCTTTGTATTTGTCAAATTTTAATTTTAACATTGTTATGAATTCATTATGAAGGGCAAAGTAATTATTTGAAGGCCTTTAATGAATAAATGCAAACATCAGGAAGCTAATAGTTTTACACAAAGATAAGAAGCATGTGAAGGTCAGTGAACATGTATAATACCAACGTATACAGAACTAAATATGTTTCCCTTTTATGAAATGTGCTGAGATATCAATGTTGTTATTGCCCTTTTAATAAATTTGCCTTTATTCCACCAAATGACATGGCCAGAGGAGCAGAAACATTGATTAAAAGGTGCTGGGTTCTCTCACATAGAGATCAGCTAACATATGAGTATCCCTCTATGCGGATGTATCCTCCTGAATGATTTACGAAATTGGTATTAATCTCTTTCCAGTAAATGCATTGCTAAAGTTAGATTTGGACATGAATAGAAGTTTGGTCAGAAAATGTCAACATTAATACCCCAGTGACTGTTCCATTTAACCTTTACTGGTTTTATTCAGACTCCATCCAAAATCAGCAGTATTTGCGTCTCCACCTACTTTTGTTTCCTTAATCCCAGGAGTAAAATGTAAACGATTCAAGAATTTAAATATCTGATTGTCTTTATTGGCATATTTAATCATTGTTTTGCATGTGTTGGCTACAGAAATGTTTAAAAGTACAAACTGTAATTTAAAAAACCTAGCTTAAAGGTGTTGAACACCTGTTCAATCATTGCATTTACAGTGGCCTCTAGTAGGAATGAATGTCTTGCAATTTGTATGGTGGGAGGGTGGTGGTGGTGGTGGTGGTGGTGGTGGTGGTGGGGGGGGGGTGTCTCAGATGCGCCTGTTTCAGGAAGTACAAGTCAGCTGGAGGATAAATTTGCTTCAGACGGTGGGAAATGGAGTCTCTATGGCGTTTAAAGCGTGCCACAACCCGTGCACGCGCATTGGGTCCACAGCGCGCGTGTGAACGGGACTCGCGAGCAAAAATATACATGGCGAGAGGTCATTTGTGCACTGAGAGGGAGCAAACTGTGTCTGTGAGCGCACAAGGATGTGCACAAGTGACAAACCTGCGTGCGCGCGTTGTCAACGAGCACACGGCAGAGGAAAACGTGCGCGCGCGGCAGCCTCTGTGCGCGCTCGGCAGCCTCTCTGCGCGCTCGGTTTCTGACTCCTGCTCGCTCGGCTGTAAGGGTTTTGGCACTCTGGAGGCGTGGCCTGTGGCAGATATCCTCTGTCCTCTGATTGGTTAGTGTACCCCGCACTTTACCCTCTACCTATCTATATAAAAAAGTCTGCTAGTCAAGTAGTCGCTGGCATAGCTCAGTTGGAAGAGTGGGTGACTCTCACCCCGGAGGATCCAGGTTCGAGGCCGGGCAAGGAAAATGCAGTAGATGTCATGTTAATTTTTCTTAATTTCAGGTATTTTACAGTTGTGACCGTTCAACTGTCATTAAACGTCCGAATGTTTGCTGGGCAGTGTTTTAAAAAGTGCACATAAGCTAGATGGTTTTAACCATATAAAATTACATTTTTTGTGATACTGGAAAAATACATACTGAAATAAAACTACTGATTGAAAACTTTATGACTGTGGTTGTACAATATATGACTCACTAATACACTGCAAACTCCCTTAGAGTGGGGCTTCCAGAGAGAGAGAGAGAGAGAGAGAGAGAGAGACAGAGAGAGAGACAGAGAGAGAAAAGTTCTTGCCTCATTAATGAATTGTTTATTTTTTTCAGTATTTAATTGACAAATTATCCTTTCAAATAATTAATTGATGAGTTACATAATTGTCCATTTAGAATTGTTGAATGGACTGAGTCAAGTTTGGTGCACTTTATATATTTCAAAACATGTTTTTTTTTAATTTTAATGATGCATATAAATAATTTAAATGTTAATTTAATGAAATATTTCTATTTTTTCATTACCTCACCCTTGTTTTGACAAAAACGGGACCTTGCTGGATAATATCATGGAGAAACTATTTGTTCACAGTACATGGCTCAGTGAGGATCTGTGTAAAGGAGGAGATACTCAGAAATCTGTCTGCAGATTGTTACAACCCAGACTGGAAGTGGTGGGCTGTAATAAGAAAGGAGACCAAACAGAGGAGTGGGGGTTCAACAACTGATTTATTTAACAAAAGTAAGGATTTACTAAAGCAAGTTAGTGAACAGAAAATGGCCATCTCAAGGTTTTACTCGGATGTCCCTCAGCAGGGTGCAGCACTGTTGAAGGTCATCTGAATGAAAGCTTGATATGCAGTTTCTTTATGAAAGTGTGTAAATATACAGTGTGGTTGCCGTACATATGTTGA